TTCTCAAGCATTAGCAAATTTACCTCTTTTCGTTCGTGTTGTATTTTCAAACTTTCGTCGACGAAGAACAGCAAATATAGCAGCGCCAGCAAATCCATACCTGCAGCAATTGTGAATACGCCTACGGTACCGGTTCCAGAGAGTATATAACTGCTGATTACGTTGCCAATCAAAGTACCAATACCCAAAGCGCCATCCACAAAGAACATGCTATATGTGTGTTATGTGAGAGTAATAAAAATTCGTAATGTTAACGCTTTCAAAGAATTCGATTTGACATACCGTCTTGCCTTACCGCCCTCGTCCGACACGTCTGAGACGAGACAAAACACCATTGTTATTAACGCGCAGGTGCCACCTGTCAAAGCCAATGGTACATTCGATAATATGTAGACCCATGGATTTAAAGGCGTTGCCAGAGATATTGCAGCGAGAATTGTTGTTATAGAGTGTCCGATCAAGGCCGCTATTTGTCGAACAGGTTTCGTTGCATTAATTTTTTTTTTTTTATAATTATTAAAATAAATGATTTACCTGAGAAGGTTGCTACAAGCACCGGTCTGCGTCCAAACTTATCCGACCAAGGTCCAATAAATAAACTGAGGAAAGCAGGCAAAACACTGGTAATCACCGAACTAGTCATAATTATATTGGCCACATAGGGTTGCACTTTGGTTTCAATTTCCTTAAAGTATTATATAAAATATTTTGATAAATAAATCAAGTTAATATTATTATTAAACTAAATTAAAAAAAACGTTAATCAGGCTTTTGCCTTCTTCCTAAACAATTTAGTAAAAATTTGAAAAGATTAAACTTTTTTATTTACAAAATTATATCCAATTCCATTATTCTTTTTTAAGAGAAGTATGGATACTATAATCCTTCGCCTCTGTCACTTTTTGCTCTAATAATTTCAATACAAAGTCAAACAATAGGTTGATTAAAGGAATAAGTTTGTTCTAAGGGATGAAACCGGGAATTTATAGTATATCACTCAGCTACCTAGGTAGGTAGGTAGGTAGGTAGGTAGGTAAAGTGGCTGTCACTTAGGCCTTTAGGAGGCCCATTGTGATACCACTGGGACTGTGATCCCCTCACTCTCATTGGCTTCTCTCTGAACCACCCCGTACTTTTGATGAACTTCATCAGTGAGACAAGTTTTATCTGTGCAACCTCCGAGCCGTCATCAAGAAATCCACGACCGATGGTTGCGATTCTTTTCCTGTATAGTGCTGCGCAATCGCATAGAAGATGTTTAATGGTCTCCTCCTCTTCTACTTCCTGACAGCTTCTACAATAGTCGTTATATGGCGTGCCAAGTCTACTTGCATGTCCGCCTATTAGACAGTGGCCTGTTAGTACTCCTACGAGAGTTCTTATATCACTCAGCTACCTAACTGTGGTAGTTAATATAAAAGTAAACCTTGGATGCTTAATTTTGCTAGGAGATATATATATCACTTGAAAATAAATCGGAATTGATAATCTAGGATCATATTGACTGATCTTTTGTTCGTAGCACAGCATCTATGTAAAAGGAA